GGCACATGCATCCATTCTTTGTCTTCCCTTGGATTTTGATTTTCAACATTATTTCATACTTTGTACTCCACAAGCTCAATCTTTCTTTTCAAACTGTGTGATCTTTTGTTGTTGGCCATACTGTTTTTTTGAATTCATTCTATTACTTTCAAATTCCTCTCGCTGTTCTGATTTGTCGTGGTAACTTGTATCGGTGTACATCTTTGCCAAGTTATACATTCGTTATAATTAACTGAATAATTTTATATCCTGTTAGAAATAGCACTGCTAGCAAACATGTAAAATAAGCAATACGGTTACCAACTATCTACGTTGCCAATCTGTTTGGTACCTTAGTGATCACTGTTAATATTAGTTCGTTCATTACCATGCATCATAGCATTTTCTCGGATTATTTTACTTTTTGTGTATATTCAGTGTCATTTCCTATACCTAACTGTCTTCAAAAATCATTATTTGGTATGACTAGAGTGTATTTAGCAAATATTTCGGGTGATTATGGTATAGAGATGACCTAAATAACCGCAACGTGTTTCCAACCAGTTCTTAGTCTATCAGAAAACCGCTTTTGTAAGTGCGTAGTTTATGAAAACGAAGACAATAATACTACAAAATGTAAAGAGATTGTACATATTTATTGAATTTGTAGAAGTCTTCTACAGGTTAATCTACCTGGTAATAAAAAAACATATAAAGTCGTCCTTCTGGATTTCGATTATCCGTCTCTTCAATTCCCTTATAGGGAATGAAATAGATTCTTAAGAGTCCCCCACATTTTTCTTGGTCAGGGTTGTATATTTATGGTGAGGATCGAGATGTTTTCAGTACGGACTTCTATCAACCATAAAACAGAACTGATTTTTAGGCATTTGGATATGAATGAATTTCTCACAAAAATCTAATAACTGCTATCTGATTGGTTTGTCCATAAAATATAATGTCAGTAAATTAATAGTTGTTTTAAGGATAAAGTGTTGAGAGCTTAGGTATAGTGTCGAGTTGTTTGCTACTTTCAGTCTACTGAGAAAGAACTGTGTGTTTGGTAAGTTTAGCAATATTATTCTTACTCTATAATCGCAAAAACTGAATTATTATATTAAACGTTCTGAACACAATATGAAGATATTTCTACTGTTCGTTATACGTGATATTTAAATTCGCCACAAAAGCTTAAATGTCACCTTGATTCTGTTTGTCTCGTCTCTATAATTTTATCATCTTTTGTTCTACGTTAATTTTTGTTTTATTCTCGGGCAAATGTCTATCTTCATTTCAGAATGATGAAATTGTTCGAATGAAAAGTCGTATGCAAGAACTGGAAGAAGAACGTAATCGGTTACATCGAGTCACATCTGCACATTCATCTCAGTTAGAGAAAATGAAAAAAAGCTTGGGCGAAACACGAGTTCACTGTAATGAACTAGAGACAGAAAAGACTAATTACAAGAAGGTATATTATTATCCAGTTAATGTTTCATAGTTGTGCTTTGCTTCGTTTTTGTTTCCTATGATCTTATGCAGACTAATCAATTAAAATACATTTTACATCATTATATGATATCGTTTGTATAGAGTTCTAATAAAAGGCAAATTTTAGAGTAGATATATCAAGTGACAGCTTTATCGTTTAAACGCTTAACTTGTTACCACTGTATGGGCAGTTTAAACTTCGTCCTACTTTCAATGTAGGCATCTACAAAGTATCACTGACACCTACACAAAATCAATTTCAAAAGCTGATACTTAGCTACTAATTTGAACTGAAACAAAATGTGCTGGTTCGCGATGATAATGCCTAAAATTTTCAGGTCAACATTTTCTCAGTTATTCATCTATTCATTGGTCCGTGTATTTTCGGAAGAAAGTACGTCTTGTTTAATTAGTGAAATAGTTCTTGTATTATTAGATATTCTGAAGCAGTGATTGAAAATTCTTTCGGAACAACATACAAACATAACGTAGGCTAGCATAATGAGATCAAGGAGCGTCTTCTGTGGTTTCAAAATCGATTCATTTTGTAAAACATTCTACCTAGCCTTGTGTGTCTTTTTGAATTTTCATGCAGATGTATTTAGCTACTCATGAGTACGTTGTGTGCATTTGTGAATTTCGATGGGGATAACTTTTTGGGTTTATGTATTCATGGAGTTATTTGTGACCAGCGTTCTGTAGTATCCCCATTGTCTGTAATTTTCTTCTAACTTCCGCTTGAGTCTTTCTTTTTAATAGGTTTGTGTTTGTGTGACTAGCTATGAGGTTTCGGACACTAGGTAATCTAAACTAAAAATAATGATATAAACACACAAAATTCCCTTATTTGTACTACTGTTAGTAATAATAAAAATATAATATTTAACATGAACCTAACGACAAACATGAACTCTAAACAGTTTTATTAATGTTTCGAAGGTATTATTTAAGTTTTATTCCCGACTACTTCAAAACGATATACCTCTTTTTGATGGAGTTTTGTTCTCTGAGCTGGATGGTTTGGTCGTGGAGCTTTCATCGTTCTTCTGAACGATATCATAAGCACAGATTTCAGGTAGAGGTTTAATTGTTATGTACTTATTCACATACCTGTTGGACTTCTATTTCATCATACTAAAACCAACTGAATTTCGTTTATCTTAAACAGGATTATGATTCACTTAAACGTAATTCTGATCAGCAAGTTCTCGAAATCAAATCTTTGACTACACGTCTTAATCGTGCAATTGAAGAATCTGACCGTTATAAAGCTGAATTAGAGAAGGTCCGTTCATCTACACGTGAGAGCGTTGGATCTATGCGTCATAATATGGATGATTTAATGGCTGAAAATAAGCGGTTAGAAAAGCAAAAATCCGAGTTAATTTCAACATTTAAAAAGCAAATGAAATTGATCGATATATTGCGCAGACAAAAAGTAAGAGTGTAATTATTTATTTGAATAGATAAAAACATTTACTTCGTGAACATATTTTGTTATGTTTAAATTTCCCCTTCCTCCTATCTTTTACTGCTGAAACCACTGTCAGTTCTTTTTTTATCTCCTACCTAGTTTCTTATGCCTTACCAAGCATTGTGGTATGCCACAGTGTTATATCATTCTCTATTTATCAGTGCTTTAAGTTGTCATTTGTGTATTCGTGCAACCAACAAGTAGCACATCCAGCTGTGGTTCGTTATCGGCTTTATGCAAGTTTAAAGTGATGGGTAAATGATAAGGGTTATAATACATTTGCATCACATGGTGCACGAGCCTACGGAGTTTAATGCTCAGTTTTAACTTATGATAAACTTAATGAACTCTAGAACAATTTTTTTCAAATCTAATCTAATTTACTTAAATTTTCTCTCACTTTTCCCATTATTTTGAGTTTGAAATGTAATGATAATTTACCTTTGTTATCAAAAGTAATACATTAACCTGTCCATTTTATTGAGCTAGTGGTTAGATAACCTTACCTGAATAAACTGCATATTCATGATGGTTTTTTGTACAATAAGCAAGACTTTTTTATTTTATACTCTAATAGCCTAAAAATATTTAGATGTCAGTCGTTTAGTGCATGAAATTCTTTCTGTTCAAATGAATATTTGTAGTGTGTTATTGAAGCCAATTAGATTCTTTTCCTTTCATATTTATATTGTCCATATTATTGTTGTGTGCTTCTTTTTCCAGATGCTAATCGAAGCCTCTAAGTGCTTACAAATCACAGAAGATGAATTTCTAAAGGCTCTCGATTGGTAATGTCTTTCAACACAAGCATTTTCCTCGTAATATATTAATCTTCTGAATATTCATATTATCAATGATTATTTACGTTCTATATGCTTTATTCGTTTAACTTTTCACATTTGTATTGTCTTTATATTAGATAAAATATATATCTGCTAACAAAAATATGTTATTTATTACATTCACCATGGATTTCCTTTTGTGATGTGGATTGATCTATGTTGCTTCAGTTAACAATATTCAGTTATACCGTTGAATACTTTTTTGTAAACTAATTTTAATATCTTTCTAATTTGTTAACTATTCAATTAGTTTTTACGGTGATCTCGGCTTTCGTGAAAGTAATATATATATATATATATATAAATCACTTGAGAATTACCCTGCTAACTAATATGAGATGAATAACGGATACTAATGTCGCGTTAAAGACAACAAATTGATGATGGACTTTTCCAATCGGACTGATTTACGACAAACGTAAAATTTTTATCCCATGACTACTGACATCAATAATTCTTTTTGTAATATTTTGCAGGTACCATTGAGTAACAAGTATGCTATCTAGTGATTAAAAATAAGCAAAAAATAACAGTCAATTCAAAACTTTCCGTTTTACGTGACATCTTGGGAGCTTTCGGCTATCTTTTCTAAATTTTGAAACAGTCCCTTTGATAAATTTAGGCGATAAAATGAGAAGATAAAGTTCATCGGAACTATGTAATATATGTGTGTAATACACTTCGAACAATTTGATTAGATATCTGCTGGTTTTGAGTGTATTGGACTAATATATAACATGGTTCTGATAAATGATTTTTATTTGCATTATCTGTGTCTTGGGTCAATTCCTCGGATATCATGTTACTCGCTGTTGTGATCACATTACTTTTACTGACTCCATAGGGTTGATGTAAGCTTAATGTGAGCTAACTCATAAAAGCATAGTTATAAGCAGAAACTATTCTTATATTAAAATAAGCTTCAATACGTAACGTAGATCTGATTAACTTTAGGAAATTTCACTTAGAATGATCTTTCAGTACGTAATTTAGCTTGTGTATCCAGTATTTCACAATGTTAATGGTTATTTAACTTCAGAAGGAATAACTGGTACAATAGTTGGAGAGTGATTATCGCGTCATATTAAGCTTTTTCTCGTGCGTTACGGTAGAGTCCCGTTTAGTTAAGTTCAAAAGTGATTTCATGTTTTTGCCAGTATAATGAACATTCTCATGAAGTATAAAAATGAAAATCTATTAACCTTAAGGATTACCTTTTTTCTGTGCATCATGATATTTATCTTTGCAAATAAACAGTCACTTCTAAAACCAAGTACGTCAAGACATCGGTCCAAGAAAGTACGTATAAATATACGTGAATCGATAAATTTTCGGGTGAAAGCTGCGATTAGATTAGAGAAATTGAAATCAAATAAAAGAAAGCTTCCCGAGATGCAACTGTGCGTAGTTCATCCTTTTTTTATTTTTCTTGCAGAATATTACATGTCTAATCCAGATTTGCTTCCAGATCTACTATCTGACTCAGTTCTAAATGCCTTGTCACTTGAGACTTTAGTCAGGCAAGGAGCAGAAGCACGAATCTATCGCACTAAGTTGTTCCATTCAACATATACTTTTCCATGTATTGTTAAAGAAAGATTCGTCAAACGTTATCGTCATAGTACATTGGATGCCACTTTGTCAATGCAGCGAATGCGAGCTGAAGTCAGACAGATGTTGCGTTGTAGAGAAGTAGGAATAGATGTCCCTCCAGTCCTTCTGGTTGATGTTCGACGACGTCGGATTTGGCTCGGTGAAGTTGGTCCAGATGCTGTCACACTTCAAGACTGGTTTAAAAACTTATCTTCTCTAGCAACTGCATCAGATTTATGTACCATGGATATCCAGGAGAAAACAGCTTCACGATTGCGAAATTTAACAACGGCATTAGGTCGACTACTTGCTCAGCTACATTCTAACCATATAATACATGGTGATTTGACTATGTCCAATATTCTGGTTCAACAGGTATTTTTTTGCAAGCTTTTATAATATTGTTCTTTTAGTTCAATTATGATTTGCCATTTGCTTGAGTAACTGCATTACTAAAAATCAAGTGTTGTATATATTTCGGATCATATGTAATTCTGTACATCGATTCCATCCATGCATTGGTTAAAAAACAAAATCAGATATTTTATGGATAGATTACTGGTGTGTTCACAGACACTTCATCACTTAGGATAACAAATTAGTAATATTTTACTTACAAATACTCATAACATAAGTTTTGTATCTCATTGACAATGGTGTTTTGTTTCTCAGAAAGTAGGTCGCAGTTCGCGACGTTTCATCTTTTGTCCTGGTAGTGATGGTGTAGATGATGCCTCTAAATGCCCTGGTATGCCCGAGCGTTGGGAGGATTCGCTCTCCTCAAAACTTTCATATGACCACGCATATATAGCCAATCGCAGAGAAGTTCTACTGACTGCTTTCTCGTGACAGGGGCGCTTTAATCAAATTGATGGGTACGGAGGACCAACTTAGAGGGGTTGGAAAACCCTGATCCTGAACCAGTGATGCACATGGGGTTAAGGACTTTGAGGGGACAATTGTGATATGAACCTATTGTTTGTCACCGGTTACTATTGGACTGCATCTCCTAACGTCGCTTCACTGCCTTGTGGATTAGACCTCTGTGTCAAAGGCTCGGGGATTGGCCCCTTAAGAAAACCATTTGTCTATGTTTGGGCACCTGGGAAGTATCCTAGCCCACATAAACATTTAATGATAACTACTTTGTTTGGTGCATATCTATTTCGAAATCCCTTTGTATGAACATTTATGTGTGATTTCATCATAATTCATGGTCAAAATTAGTGTACAATTAACATACAAATGAGTGTATTCGACTAGGGTCGTCGTGTTTTGTGGTTAAAAAATCTTTGCTTGTAACAGTCTTAGTACTCTTACTTTGCGTCGGCGGAATTGCAGTGGTTCTTTGTTTTAAAAGTATAAGTATAAAGTGATTTCGACGTAACAATTAGCGACGACCAGCCATAACAATGTTTAAATATAAAAATAAATAATAGTTGTTGATGATTGTCACAGAATGATTTTTGATCGACTGCTCTGAAACTAAGGATACAGAAATCACGGGTGTCAAAAATCCAGCTATGTCTAATCTTCATGCTTTGAACATGTTAACGCAATTGAAACAAATTCCAGAAGTAAAATCCTATACTTACGATCGCTTTCTACCTTTAAACGAACTTAAAAAAGAAGAAACTGATGAGACCGGTAAGAGGTATATCACTAGTTCAGTTTCAACATTCTGATTTACTTATGAAATTCGATTTTGATATAGTGGTAGCTAAATGCTTACCAAATGTAACACTATCAGTAAATTATTACATCATGGAGTCGTAGGATATAAATTTAGAAAATTATTGTTATTTGATTCATTCCTTGCACTGTATCATCACTTGAGCAATGAAGATGTTAAATCACACTTTTTAATACTAGCCTCCTTAATTCAACACTTCTCCATAATTTCAGGTAGATAATTGTAACAAAGAATCCGATTTTCGAGTCGTTCCTATAGATTTTGGACTTTCAAGCTCTTCTTCTGGATTAACCTCACAACGTTTAGCAGAAGATAAAGCTGTAGATCTGTATGTGTTTGAACGGGCCTTAACCTGTGGCCTTGATCACAAAGCCCTGTCAAAAATTACCACTGACCACGCCGATTTAAATACTCCAGAATCGCTTCTGTATTTAATTATAAAGTCCTACCGGGATAATTATGTATCGACAATACTGGATGATCAACAGATAAAGTCTAAACATGATAATGCAAAATCAGGTGGTCATTTGGAAAAACAAGATCACGAAGTCAAAGAAATTTTAAACAAATTGGAGGACGTTCGACTTCGTGGTCGAAAACGTCTGATGATCGGTTGAATCGCACTTTGTGTGTGCGTTAAGTGATAACTTTCTGCAAATTATCGTACATGTACATTATTTGAATAATTGTATTTTATAATTTCTGAACCCGTTTGACGACTCGAATCCAATTTCTTTTCTTGGATACAAAGCCACTAATGAAAATAACATGATCAGTCAGGGTTTACGAAATTCGAATCGTGATGTATCCAAACGTCTGTCACACTATCAAACTGCAGCCAAATAGAACGTACCTCCTTCGAAGTAAGTGGATAAGAAATTTAGGATACGCACTAGAACCCGTAGAATATCATAATATTGTATTAAACGCTCGCTAGCAATTAGTAAGAAAATAATGATAAATAGTTGAAGTAGGTCGTCCACAAGAAACCTTGAACCTAGGTTTGGTAATATTCTATGCTCGTTAACAAGATATACCTGCAATCTTGTGAGAACTGATGCTTTCTGGGGTATTAGAACCCGCCTCACCTAGCTTCACAGTGAGATGCTATCACTGAGCCATTTGAGCTGCTACGGCTTCAAAAACTTGAACAGCTTCGTTAAGTAATATAAACTATCGACACTGAACAGTAGTCTCAGAATAAATACCATTACAAGTACGATAACGAATTAGTGATAATAAAAATACTTGGGATCAGTAGTTCATTGGGATGTAGGGTCAGCAGCTAAGACGTCCGACATCCACCACTAAGTTCCAGGTTTGAGTTCAAATACACCTACTTCGATTTAGGAAACAGGCTAGTATCATTACCTCTTATATTTAGGGTGTAGTACATACCCAAGTACCTGGTGAATAAGCATGTATTATTGGTGCTGTGTGATTAACTAACATTTGACTTCTAAAATTATTGAAAGCAAAATCAACTGCTGAACATTAATAAGTATAGTGACTACAAAACAGTGAGGTCGAGGTAAATAAGGTTGGAAGGTACAAAACAAATTTTATAGTAAACGTTATTCGTAGATATAGTTAAGATGTAACTGCTTAAAAGTAGGTGAGTATTGAGTACATACTATTAATTGTGTTGAGATATGGAAATAAATTGGATAAATGCAGCGTTACCTTAATGAATGTAACTTAAAAGATAGTATAGTTTACAAAATCCTAATAACACAAAATTACTGTCAATATATATATATATATATTCATGGTCAAGGGACTTTAAATAGTTAAGTTGTTATTATTTAGTAAAAATTTCCAAGAACAATTTAGTTTTCTGCTTTTACCATCTCAGCTTCTTTATTGTAAACGACGTCAAATGTTCTATAAAGTAAACATTTAATCTGTCATACATCAACCGAATCAATCTAAAATTGTTTACCCTTCATACTAAAATATCATTTACACCGTAGACTGAAAATCACTAATGAGCGTTGAACATGGTTATTCTTTACTGAATGATAAATATTCCTAACGAATTCACTAGAAATGTCCTCTGACATTATTTAACCAGATATCAGATCCATATCTTAAAGTCAATTCGTGTGCCAGATCGAAGTAATGATAATTATCTACAACTAGAGAAATTAAAAAGAAAACACAGAGCACGGAAAAACAAAGCAGTAATTACCAAAATATGCCAATAAGGTCTACCTAAATGCGTGTGTCATGTAACACAGTGATATACTGTTTATGTTATTCGAATTAGTTAAACTTGCTAGGGGCGGTGTTAACATATTGACAGCAAGTGGGTGGTTTTACTTAGGGAATTAACTAATAAAGATGGCTAAACATTTAAGGTTCCTAAAATATCACTTGTGGAATGAGATACACTTAAAGGCGCTAGACCATTCAATTCATTTTCAGAGGAGCAGTATGCAGCGAACAAATAATGGGAGTGATTTTATCGTGCGGATAAATTGTGGTAGGTTATTTTAGAGTCTAGAAAATTTACAGGTGAAGTAATTCATATAAAGAGATGATTTAGAATGAGTTCCAAAAGCTGATCACAAGCTTACTGGCTTACTCCTGTTACCCCCTCACTTGTTTTAAATTGTTTGTTCTAGTTGGCGTTATTTTAGCAAGGTTGCTTTCTACGGGATGGGGTTTCCAACCCAATACCTAACCCGCTTTTTTACCCGGGCTTGGGACCGGCAGAAACCCTAGAAGAGTTGCAGGTCCATATGTTATTGTTAAATTGAAGAATTAAATATATCAGACTGATGTACAATGGTACAGTATGTTGACATATTTTTCTTTGGGATTGATGGACTGTCAAGAAACTTTGTTTTTGGCGTTGAATAAAATATAATTTGCTTTTGGTAAAATTCATTGTGGATTAAGCCGGTATATTGTTTCGATCAGTTTGAATGTCAGTAAGATGTTTTTAAGGTGGGGCTTTCTGTGAACATCCGGAAATAAAACTAGCTATGTCACTAACAAACTTTATCATGTAAATTTAAAAACAATTCCCTTTATGTATATTATACCTATGTGTACTCCTTTGTTAGACAGCACTCAGAACAGTTTATGCCACTCACCCAGTGATACTTTAATATCAGTAGCTGTAATGTAATCATGATAAATAGCGCAAGTAGTTGAGATTGATATATTCAACCAGAAAAGTAGTAATTATAAACATTCTACTGGGAAACAGATATTCGTTCTATTCACTTGAGACCAATCATAACTTGAAATTGGTGAGGTGTAATATAAACAGGATGAGTAGTTGTGTGTAGTGCATTAGGACAAACTTATGAATCAGGAGAACTTCTTAGAATATGTAAAGATGTAATTTGTAATTGAAATTCTGAATATTAAATAGGACAACTAATATATCCGGCATGGGATCTGAAGGAAGAAGAACCATGAATCCATAATGTAGTGCATACTATCTTAATTAACTGAGGGTTTTCTGTGTAGTTTAAAAACATCTGTTTTAAATTAAGGAGACACTTTCGTGAAAAAGATTAAGCAGACTTATTATTTCATACCATAGTTCACTTAATCATTTTGAAAAGAGCAAGAACAAGCATTCCGCTAGAATGTTTCTTCTTGCTCTTTTCAAAACCTATTATTGTTTGACTATTTCAAACCATAGCCAGAGAACAAAACTCCACCAAAATAGTTTTATCGCTTACGAAGTATAGGTTGCTTCCTGTTGGAATACATGAAGTGCGTTATTATGGCAATTCAATTTATACTTCTTCATAATAAACATCTATTTCAGTGTAAAGTAAACAAAAGTGTATTAGTAAAAGGTAACTTATGTCGGTAATATTATTTAACCTTCGAAATATTAACTAAACTCTAATTGAGTACCATCAAATGATAAATCATAAGATGCTCATATGTATGGGGGAATAAAGTATTCTTATCCATACATATTTCGCCCTATAATTCCTAAAATCTATTTGATAAAATGTAATATCTTGTGATTACTTTAAACAACAATGTTACAATGTTCATTTCCCCCACGCGGGTTACTACTTAGGAAATTTTAAACACTAGTTGTCCTACTTTGTGTTTAAATGCATATTTACCACAATGATTATCATTACAATCAACACGTGATTTGTTACTAAGCTGATTCTAAAACATGTAATCATAATATTTAGTGATTAGTATGTATATTTTCCATGTAATCGTTCAGAGAAATAGACAGGAAATTTATTTCCCTTGTTGATTGACGTCTCAGGTATATTTTAATCAATCCTCCTGCTGGCATAAAAGATTCATTAGATTAAACATTGGGAATTCATATTACTAACTGGCAAACATAACAATAGAAATATTAAACAAATGAATGTGTGTTTTTAAGAGGAGGAGACTAGATTGGTAAAATGAAAACGAACAAATAAGAAAATAGTAAAATAGAATGAGAAACCCTTTTTTTTCTTAATTTTAAATCAAAACTAACTTTTAATCAGTGTATATGTAGTAAGTTTAGTGACTGCAATAAAATAGTTTAGGGATGAAACAAAAGGGAGAAAGAAAGACCCACACTAGATTACTAGTGACATATTTATTCAGTATGAATATTTCACCTATTGTCGTAAATGTACTATACATCCAACTGAAAAATCTAACAAGGAAATGAACGGTTAAAAGGTAAGCCATATTAACTAAGTATTACTTTTCCAAATCATTGTAAAATGATTAAGGTAAGGGATGAGCAGCTGAAGGAAATTAAACATGAAAATAATATGCTTACAATTGTGGGATTAATGTAAGTAGTTAGTTAGGCTTTCAGTCAACAAAAATGTAACAGTGCTAATACAAGTAAGGTTGTACTGTTTGATTTTGATACACAGGATTAGTTTTTAAATCGGTTAACTAATCACCTTAATTAGTAGGAAATTTTTTTGAAATGAACATATTTCGTTAAAGTAACACTGACATATCAAGTGTAAATGGGAAAGCTAAAGATCGATTACCTACGAGTAGTAATAGAAGTTTAACCATACTCACCATAGAAAGTTCATTAAAGATTATATGAATGAATGTTTAGTGCTTTTCAGTTCTTAAATTAAACCATTCTTTAGAGAAAAAGTATCTATAACTTGATTAATGAAGCTTAAAGTATAAAAAAAGTCATTTGAAATATTTTAATGACATTGGTAAAGTATCACAATAGTTCTTTTACTGTTTTAAATTGATCATGTGAAATTCCAAACAGAGTCCTTCAAAACTTAAAAATTCCTGTTAAATTAATAAGTATACGGCTGAATTTTATTGAAATTATTTAATCTATTAGTTACGTTTGATTCGTTCTAGTATAATACCTTACGTCTGTTACTCCCAATTGAGAATAAGCCGCTGACCAGCGTTCTCCAACCCACTCTGTTCTGGGCCTTCCTTTCTAGTCCTATCCAATTGTTGTTTATTCTCCTCATGTCTGTCTCCATTTCTCGGCGTAATCTGTTCTTTGGTCTTCATCTTTTCCTTTGGCCTGGGACTACTTCAGGTCCCAAGCCTGGATAAAGGAGGAAGATTGGGTATGGGGTTAGCGACCCCATCCCGTAGAAAACTAACTGGCTAAAAAACGTGTGGTGTT